CAGTCGGCGTAGTATGTTTATCTTTTTGACCTTCCCAAGATGGCATTTTTAAATTTTTTTTTTTTTTTTTTGCAACCTGCATTGCTCGGGAAGAGGGGGCATTTACTATCATTAAAAGGTGTATCCCTCCGTTTTTCCCCCGAAATAACGCTAGCCGGTGTTATTTTCGGCCCGTTTCTAGAAAACTTTTAACGGTTCGCGTCAAAAAAAAATCCCCGCTCTGACCTTCCTAAAATGGCGATTGGCTTAGTTCAGGACTCATTTTGACCTTCCCAACATGGCTCTTTATTTTATTATTTATTTTTTGGGGGACCTGCATTGCTCAGGAGGGGATGGCATTTACTGTCGTTAAAAGCTGTACCCCAGTCTTCTCTCTGCAAATAATGATAGCCATTATTTTCCGCCCGTTTCTAGAAAACTTTTAACGTTTGGCGTCAAAAATCCCCGCTCTGACCTTCCGAAAATGGCGGTCGACTTGGTTCGTGCCCCATTTTGACCTTCCCAACGTGGCTTTTTATTTCATTTTATTATTTATTTTTTGGGGACCTACATTGCTCAAGAAAGGATGGCATTTACCAACATTAAAAGCTGTATCCCGCCCTTCTCCCGGAAAATAACGCTAGCCGTTGTTATTTTCCGCCGGTTTCTAGAAAACTTTTAACGGTTGGCGTCAACAATCCACACTCTGACCTTCCGAAAATGGCGGTCGGCTTAGTTGGGGCCTCATTTTGACCTACCCAAGATGGCGTTTTCATGTTATTTTATTGTTTTATTTTATTTACTTATTTTATTTATTTTATTTTATTTTTTATCTGTGATACAGAGTCTCGCTCTGTCGCCCGGGCTAGAGTGAGTGCCCTGGCGTCAGCCTCGCTCACAGCAGCCTCAAACTCCTGGCCTCCAGCGAGATCCTCTGGCCTCAGCCTCCCTCCCGAGTAGCTGGGAATACAGGCACGCGCCACCACGCCCGGCTCATTTTTTCTATATATATATATATATTAGTCGGCCAATTAATTTCTTTCTATTTCTAGTAGAGACGGGGGTCTCGCTCTTGCCCTGTCTCGAACTCCCAACCTCGAGCACGATCCCCTGCCTCGGGCCTCCTCCTCAGATGCTGGACACAGCGTTGAGCCTCCACCTGGCCCGGCATTTTTATTTATTTTAATTTGATTTTTTTTTTTTAATTTTCTTGTTTTTTTTTTTTTTGCTCTCTTATTTATTTTAATTTGATATTTTTAATTTCTTGTTTTTTTTTTTTTTTTTTTTTTGCTCTCTGCATTGCTTGCAAATTACCGGCAATGTCTTACCGAATGGCACAACCTAGTATACAAAAAAAACACACACACAAACACAGCATATATACATCATTGAAAGCTGATCCCGGCTTCCCCCTCTTTCCCACAAATAACGCAGCCGTTGGTTATTTTCCGCGTCTCTAGAAACATTTCTAACGCTTGGCGCAAAAAAAAAAAAAAAATTCCCCTTCTGACTTCCAAAAATGGCGCTCTTTTATATAAATGATTGACCTCCTCAAGATGGCGCCGCACGCTGCCGCAAAGCGGCGCGTCGCAAACGGACGCAAACATGGCGCCGGCGCCTGAGAGACGCACTTCCGGGCGCGCCGGAAGTGAGGCCGGAAGGGGCGCGTAGGGCTTCCGGCTCGTCGGAGGCGGGAGGCCGAGCGGAGGCCATGGACCGCAGGAAGAAGCCTCTGGACGTCACGGCCTCCTCCGTGAGTCCGGGTCCCGGGGGGCGAGGCCACAGGGGAGGCGAGGCCGCAGGTGTCGCGGGCCTCCTGCCTCCACGTCGCAGGAATGTCGGGGTCCCCCCGTGTCCGCGCCCGGACACCCAGAACGGCGCCGCTCCACCTGGGGGGGCCTCCAACCTTTGTGTCCTCGCGCTTTGGGACGTCGACTTTGGGGCCCTCCCACGTTTGGGGGCCCCGCTTTGGGCCCTCCACTTTTTGGGACATCGACTTGGGCCTCCACTTGGGGACTCGGCGCTTTGGGGACTCGACTTTGGGCGCTCCGCTTTGGGGACTGCGACTTTGGGGGCCTTCCCCTTTGGGGACTCCGACCTTTGGGGACTTCCACTTTGGAGCTCCGCTTTGGGGACTCGACTGTTGGGCCTCCGCTTTTGGGGACTCGACTTTGGGGCCTCCGCTTTGGACAGACTTTGGATCCACTTTGGGGACTCGACTTTGGGGACTCCTTTGGGACTCGACTTTGGGCCTCCACTTGGGACTCCGACTTTGGGACTCCACTTTGGGGAACTCGAACTTTGGGACTCCGCTTTGGGACTGCCGCTTTGGGACCTCCATTTGGGAACTCCCGACTTTGGGGCCCTCGCTTTGGGACTCGGGCCTTGGGGACTCCACTTTGGGGACTCGACTGTTGGGCTCCACTCTTGGGACTCGACCTTCTTGGGCTCGATTTTGGGACTCCGCTTTGGGCGCTCCCACATTGGGGAGCCGCTTTGGGGACTCCCGCTTTGGGGCCTCTACTTGGGACTCGAGTTGGGGACTCGACTTTGGGGCCTCCATTGGGGCACTCGACTTGGCTCCACTTCTGGGCCTCCGCTTTGGGGGGCCCTCGACTTTGGGACACGACTTTGGGCCCCCACTTTGGGGCGCTCGGACTTGGCGCTTCCAACTTTGGGGCCGCTCCACTTTGGGACTCGACCTTTGGGACTCCGACTTTGGGGGCCTCCGCTTGGGGCTCCAGCATTGCGGGACTCGACTTGGGCCTCCGCTTGGGGCCATCCCCACTTTGGGAGCTCCGACTTTGGGCCTCCACTTTGGGACTCGACTTTGGGCCTCCGCTTTGGGACTTCGACTTGGGGAGCTCCGCTTTGGGGCCTCCACTCTTGGGGACCTCCAGCTTGGGACTGGACTTTGGCGCCTCCAACATTGGGGACTCCACATTTGGGGACTTGACTTTTGGGGCTCCACATTCTTGGGGACTCCCACCTTTGGGGAACTCACTTTGGGGACTTCGAGTTTGAGCCCCACTTTGGGGACCCAGTTTTGGGACTCGACTTTGGGCCGTCCACAATTTGGGCCCTCCACTTTGGGGAGCTCGACTTTGGGCGACCTCCGTTTGGGGACTCCTTTGGGGGCGCTGCCACTTTGGGCCCATCCCACCTTTGGGGACTCAGACTTTGGGCCTCCACTTGGGGACTGCCGCTTTGGGCCTCCCCACCATGGGGACTCGACTTTGGGCCTCCACATTGGGGTCCCCACTTTGTGTCTCCACTTTTGGGGGGCCTCCACCATTGGGGCCTCCACATTGGGGGACTCCACTTTGTGTCCTCCACTTTGGCGCGCTCCACTTTGGGCCTCGACTTGGGCCTCCACTTTGGGACCTCGACTTTGGGGCCTCCAATTGGGGACTGCCACTTTGTGTCTCCCACTTGGGGCCCTCGACCTTGGGCCCTCGATTTGGGGCCCCCCACTTTTGGGACTCGACTTTGGGGCCTCCACATTGGGGACTCCACTTTGGTGGTCTCCGCCACTTTGGGCCTCGCCACTTGGGGCCCACTTTGGGCGCTCCATTGGACTCCACCTTTGATGCCTCCAACTTCGGGCGCCTCCAGTTTGGGCCTCCACTTTGTGGCTTGGGGGGGCGGTCGGCGGGTGTGGGTCCGGGCGGCGTTCGGTTTCGTTGTGGGCGATCGTGCGTGCCCGGTGTTGGGATCCACTCTTGGCCTCCCACTGTGGGGCGCTCCCACTTTTCCCCTGTGAAGGATCAGGGGGAGGCGGGGACCCCGAGGGCGTTTATCTCTTGGGACAAGAGTCTCGCCTGTCGCCCAGCGCCGGAGGTCCGCGAGGTCAGCAATCCGCTCCACAGCAGCCTCCAACTCCCCTGGATGAGCGATGCCTCCCTGCCTCGGCTCCCTCC